AAAAAAAAAAAAAAAAAACAACACGATAAGCAGCTTTTTGAACAATAAAAAGTAAGAAAGTAAAGTTAGGGGGGAAAAAAAGAAGAGAGAGAACGGAGATGAAGAAGAAACGAGGGAAAAAACTAACCAAAATAAAAAAACGAGAAAACAATTCAGAAAAGAGAGTGAGAGAGGGTAAAAAAGATAAAATAATTGAGCCAAAAGGTAGAATAGTTAATTGTTAGATGATGAATAGTAAATAAGTTGAGTTTTCTGTATATTTATAGATTATATATATGATAAAACATTGAGCAGGAAACTTGAAAAAACCAATTAGAGACCAACACTGTTAACAGCCAAAGAACAACGGCTGACAAGCATTCCACCATCATAAGATTCACAAGAATAATCAATAGGTCTCTCGACATTTAAAAAAAAAATGGTAACCAGGAAACTGTAATACTTCCATTTAAACAATACCAATACATTACATAATTGTATCACTTTACAAGAGAGAGGAGGTGCAATTTTTTCACCCCTCACAAATCGTAGCACTAAAATGAGAAATCTTAATCTGAAATAATGTAACTCTGTTAGGCAAACACTAAACAATAATAAACTAGAAAAACAGAGAAGTATAAAATAGTTGGTTCCAAGTATCAGGCAATCCAGGAAGACACCAATGGCTACAATCCGCCGAGCGTGCGGGGTTAGACCTCTGCTCAGGGCTCAAATCTCCACTATATATTGAAGGATGCCCATCTTTTCTGAGCTCCGAAAGCATAGTTATGTCAAGCAAATATGCAGGGCTTTGCATGTCCCTTATCACAGTGTCCACCACCCTCATTTGCTCCGGGTAGGCCCCCATGGGGTATGTCGAAGCGCCGCTCATTGGTGAGGTCTCGCCATAACAGTTCTTTGTGGTCGTTGTCGTTGCCCCAGCGTTCCACTCATTTGGGCTGTCAATGGAACAACTTGTGTTAGTAGAAGCTAACTACATATGCACTCAACTTTACATGAACATTTATGAATGTCAAGAGATTGATGATGTTTTGGACACTCAACCAAAACATCATTCAATCCAGTTGGCCTTTGGAAGGTAATTTCTTATGCCGACACTAGGATTGGATTAAAAAAAAAAGAAAAAAAGAAAAAAAAAACACATGCAACATATGTGTGAAGTCAAATGGCAGGCTAGCGTTCTGTGCACACTGAAGTCAATAGAGTACTCCTGCTCAACCCGACCGGATTGAACCCGAGCCACCCAAAAAGAGTGGGCTGCACCTGATTGGGCCCACCAGGTGGGATCCACTCTCTGTGAGAGGCCCGGAACTCAACCCCGTCGGGTGGAATAGCATTTTTCAAATAAGCGAGTCTAGCCTTTGTTTTGGATATTGCATGTGAGATCAGTGCCACCGACAAAAACAAAATGCCATTTGAACTTGTATGTTCAGCGAAAAAATAAAATTTAAAAAAAAAGAGGTTTCTTTTGTAAAAAAATGAAAAAAAAAATTTAAATGGAAAAGGTCTAAAGAAAGTATGATATCAATGTCAAGGTCTTCTTTGCCACCACACAATATTAAAATGAAAAGAATGAATTTTGAATAAATGGGGTCATCGAGATGTCTGCGCAGGTAAAGAAGGTTTCAGCACTCCCAATTCTACTGCACCTAATAATATTCGAGTGGTCGAATGGTTAAAGGAGTTTGTGAATCCAACTGGGACCAAATTAGACTAGAGTAAAATGTAGGGTCTACTTGACCAATTTGCACCCCAGAAGAAAAACAGATAAGTATGGGGATGAATTTTTGGTGCTTGGAGCCACTAGAGTATATCACTCCCCCAACAAAGAATAATAATGAAAGCCTAGAATTGTACGCAAAGCAATTATTTAAGAGAAAGAGAGAGAGAGAGAGAGGAAAACTTACTTGTAATGTGTAGGAGAAATAGAGAGAAAGAAGACTCTAGTTTTAGTTCTGTCAATGTTGGCGTCAACCCAATTGGCCCATGTTCTTAGCCCCTTCTCCAAAGCAGCCACACGATCCATATCTTGGTAATACTGCCCTCCTGATTCCATGTAGTCCCACCTACACGTTACCAAATACCAATGACCAAACAAATTATGCATTGTCATCCATACATACACATACTACATATAATCTTCCCTGTAGCCTCCATAAACAGCTGTGTTATACACACATAAAGATAAACCATAGATATTGTCAAATATGCTTCTACCGAAAAGATGAAACCTACTACAGTACTAGTAGGTTAAGAAAGCTGTCTTGCACTCGCCATTCTTATAATTTTTTTTATTTAATTTAATTTCAAGAGCTTTTTTTTTGGGTGCAATATCCTATTTATGATGCATTCTTTTTAACGTTATACTCTTATACTTAAATATGATTAAAATATCATCAAAATGAACAAGTACGAAAAATTAGAGAACTTGAGAAAGCCCTACCTAGTGGCTGTTAATCATCAATGACTTAGTTTTTAAGAAATATAATTCCCTTTATCAAGCAGTATCCATTTGTGCTTAAAATTGTTAAAAAATGGCGTTTCAGAAGTTGGGGTCAGTTTTGTGCCCTTTTGAAACGTAGGGACAAAGTGAGATAACGCCTATTCTTCAAAGGTCAAATTTGAAATTAATCCAAATATATATTCACAAATTTGAGACCCACGCATTATTGTAAAAGTCCTGGCTATTAGTAGTTCTGCTCATTAATGTCCCGACTACTAATAATAATGTTTACCATATTACTTTTAGTTCAAAGATAATGAAAGGCAAAATCTTGCTTACCCTTGGAGAGATCCTTTGTGGGTCCACCAGTGGCCGGTGTTGAAAGACAGCACGTCGGCGCCGCGCCACGCATTGCCGTTGCCGGAGATTTCATCCAGCCTTAGAATTCTCCTCCCTTGAGCCACATCAATGTCCACCAAGTATGGGGCTCGGTAGAATGAAAGTGACACACCGTAATCCTGCAATTATTGTCATTAGCAAAACAGAACCCAATCAAACAAAAGGCCTCTTCTTATAGCAATGGACAAAAGGCCTCTTCTTATAGCAATGGACATTTTGCTATCATTTTGGCATCTCAACTCTTGGACAAAAACAATGGACATTTTGCTATCATTTTGGCATCTCAACTCTTGGACAGAAACATCTCCTTCTTATAGCAACTTCTTATAGCAATGGACATTTTGCTATCATTTTGTCTTCTATTTTTTATGAAGAAAGACACTTACTCATTCTTTGTAAAAAGAGGTCATTTTATAAATAAAAATTTTTGAAAAGTTATTTTATTAATAAAACTTTTCAAAAGAGTTATTTTTACAAATTAGTAAAATAACTTTTTAAAAATTTTTATTTGTAAAATGATCTCTTTTTATAAAAGAATGAGTAAGTGTCTTTCTTCATAAAAAATAGAAGAAGGTCATTTTACTAATTTCACTTTGTTGGATAATCATTCTAGCATATTGTCCTGATTTTTTCTGTCACCTTTTTTTTTTTTTTTTTTTTTTTTTTTTATAGAGAGAAAATCAAAATACTGCTATGGTATTGAATTAGACTGCTTTTCAGAATAAACATTTAAAACCATACTTCCAATTAATACGCATTCAAACTTGTTCTTCTTCTTCTTCTTCTTCTTCTTCTGCTGTTCACCCAAAAAGAAAAAAGAAAAAACTCACCAAGAACTTAAAGGTGGAGAGAGGATCCCCTCTGATCATCTGCGTCTGAGCTCCACGCACCGAATCAGAAACCATGCAAATCAACGACTCCCATTGATTCCTCCCCAGCGAATCCCCAACAAACATCACCGTTTTCCCTCTCATTTTCAGCAGAAACTCAAGCCCATTGAACCTGTCATCAAAACGCTAAAATCCAACTCAAAAACTCCACATCACAAAAAAGCAATATATACACACACACACACACACACACACACACACATACAAAAAATACAAAAAGGATGTTACCTTGGAAGCTCACAATTGAGGGGTCTCCAGCGATACTTGAGATAATCCGTGTCGGGACGTCCGTACATTTGGCAGTTGAACTCAGCGTCTATTAATGGACAGTCGGAAAATTGGTACAAAGGGTAGGATTCGTCTCTGACCCAAGTCCCGGCGAACAATGCACAAGTGCTTTGGTTGGTCTGGAACATGGGCTGTCTTCTGTGGTGCTGGTGGCTATGGTGATTCTTCAAGCTCATTATAATGGCTGACGAACCCATCTGGGTCTGGACCAAAACCAAACATAGAAAATGAAGAAGAAGAAGAAGGGCCATTTTGTGAAAAAGAAAAAGAAAAGGCGGAGTTTTGAAAAAGTGGAAAAAAAGGGGAGGAAGAGAGAGAGGACACTGGACAGGACTTTGTTGTTTTGCAAACGAATGCGCTGGCCTTGGATTTGGTTCTGTTTGTCTTATAATTTATATAAAAATAAAAAATAATAATAGAAAAGAAAAAAGATGGTGCTGTTTTGTTTTGTTGTGTGCATGTGAAGAAGGGCTCACGTGGAGTAAATGGGTCTTTTTATGACGGTGGGGAGTCGTGGACTTGTGAGAATGAGAGACGTGATTTCGGCAACTTAAAAATTAACAATGTCTCTCTCTTTTTTTTTTTTTTGTCCATAATGTCTATGAGTCCAAACCTATCACGGGGGCATCAATCTGCTTCCTATTAGAATCTCGTGTTGCAACATTTTTCTTGGGAAAAAAAAAGGGTAACAATGGTGACACTCTAGATGGGAAAGTTACTCTTAGTTTCTGTTTTCTGTTTTCTTATTCTTGACTTTAGTTTATGTAGTTATTTAGTTATAAAAAAATGTCTCATTTAATTTTTTCTGTTACAATTAAAAATTTAAAAAAAAATGTAAAAAATGTCATATTTTTATTTGAATTGAATATTCAAATTACAAAGCGATCGAGGCATTTGGTTGTGTTCTATCAACTTTCAGAACCTGTTTATTTGCTTCCTAGAATATATGGGATTTTCATATATGAAACAATAATGTATGTACAAGTTTAGGAAGTTTACATAAACTTTCGTTTATTGGCTTCAGTAACAAAAAGAGGTAACTCTCTAGAGAAGTCATAATTTGATCACAACTTCACAAGTCATTCTTTCTGAAATGATGTTTTTTTTTTTTTTTTTTTTTTTTAAATACTAACCCAACTAGCAAGCATTTTCAAATCACATCATTATTCAAGTCCATCAAACATAATTTCTGAAGTAGCATTTTTCAGTCTTTAAAAGAAAGAAAAAAAAAGTAGCATGAAAAAAGAAGACAGTTGGAAAATGGGTCCAAGAACAGCACATAATGCTTTTAGTTTAAATGTTGAGGAAAGGCGGCTGGGGGAGGTGGAGGCCGCCAATGTGGATGAGGTCATCCCCTCAAAGGCCGAAGTGTACTCAACTTGGTGAAATGGGCCTTCTCAATTCTCATTTCTCTTCCTAAGTCGACTCAAAGTTTGATTCCTATCATCTTTCCTCAACCAAGACTTTAAAGAATTGCAGACAAAGGAATACATTACTTGCCTAGCTACACCAACAAAAAAGCAGCGTTCTGTTTTCACCTTTTTATCAACAATCAAAAAGAAACTTTTGTTCCAAAAAGACTTGGAAAGCAAAGGTTCCGTGCTATCCTTCACCCACATACATAGTAGAAGAATATCATTTTTTGATGTTCACTCTTTGTGTCATTATTGATTTTAGCTATAATTGATATAGGGACAATGATGGAAAATAATTTTTATTAAGCTTTTCACTGAGACTTGATTCATGACATATTTTTAATGCTTTTATGTCAAGAATAGTAAACATCCAAAATTTAAATACAATTTAAGCTGAACTAAGTACCCGTTACCCAGATGAAAAAATTTATTACATTTTCATAATAGGCCTTTGGATTTACCATAATTCTCATGGCATTTGGTTTTTAATAATGAATAAAATTGTCTCAATCATTTTCTTAAGACGTAAATACGGTACTATACAATGGGGTGTCATGGGACCTATTGTGAGATTTATGTCCTTAGAATTGTGATGGATATGTATGCTTACATAATTTCGCAACTTGCTAATGTGACCAACGTGCCACCAATATTCATTTTGGTTAGCTCGCCACAATTTATTTAAAAATAAAAAATAAATAAAAGGATACAAAATCTAGGATCACTTATCGACCGCGTCATAAGTTATAGTAGCTGAATAACAGAAGGGACCAAGGCTGGAACCAACGAGTGCAAAATGAGAAGGTTGTGATAGGACAAGTTACACAAGTGATTTTTGTGTTTGAGGATTACTATCAATCAAACAATACGTAGTTCCGACATAATCTAACGAAAAGGTAACAGTTAAAAATTGCGTTCAAAGTTGATATTGTGCATACCAAGACGTTACATCAAATTAAAACTGCATCACATTTCCAACATTATACTAATCTAATGCAATGTGATATAGAATATTAACGGTTCAGAAGTGCACAATACCAATGCAACAAGTATTTTACCACACCTTATCAAAAGGTTCTCCTAAATCTTGTTAGAGGATTCCCTGATGGGGTATAAATATATATAATATGCATTACATATACATATATATATATATATATATGAATTCTGAATATATATATATATATTTATATACACACATATATGTTAATAGAGGCGTCCAAAGTTGACAGTCAAAAAGTATACATTACATATAACATGATATTGTTGGTTTCTCAAACCGGATTTTTAAAAAAAATTGTGTGGAAACGTGGTATCAATCAAATCACATAAATTAAAATTTAATACGATCATTATTTCATGTTAATTTAACTACAAAGATATTAAAGAAAGGAATGAGGATTTGACCGTCGTTCGATTATAACGAAAATCATGAACTCCTCTAACACCGTCTTGAACTCTTAAATTCTAAGAACACCACGGTTCTTTCTCAATGTATGTCCAGATTAACATGAACTCGAATGTGTGGGCGTTCTAATGGGTTTCTCAACACATGAGATGGATGAATATGGAAGCCACCTATAGTTATCACTCACTTTTCTTAAAAGTATATGATGTCACTCAAGAAATTTTTTTTGATTTTTCTTTTGTTCTCCCGTTCTTTCCTTTTCCTTTTCTTTTCTTTTCTCTGGAAAAAAAAACTTTTTTGTTCCTCAGCGAAAAACCAGAACTCATTCTCGTTTTTGAGTAAATGTGCAGCCGCACATTTACTCCATTTCCTCATGGTGAGGAAACATGCAACAACACATTTCCTCCTACTCTTTTTTTTTTTATTTAAAATGAGGAAACGTGCTGCACGTTTCCTCTTATATATATATATATATATACACATTAACAAGGAGAGTTTCCCTTTTATAAAAATAATTAAACTCATTCAAATTAATTTAAAATAATTTTAAAATAATTTTAATATTAATTAATCAAATTAATTAATATATGTGTATTTAGAATTCTTAATTCTAAATTAATAATCATAACCCAATATGATATATTCAGTTCACATTAATCTTATGGAGCTATTGAGAGGAACTATGTACATTATTATTTTAAGCTTCAATAATTTTGACAATTAATTAACGCCTTAATTAATATATCAAAATTATTAATTCCAAATTACTCCACTATAAATTTGGAATTGCACTCTTAAAATAATAAAAATAATTATGTTCACGGAATTTGTGTTGTCCATTGATATAGTCACTACATTCCTCCATAAACGGTTCACAATTAAAACTAGGTATTTTCCGTTAACCTCTTTAATTATATCTTTCTCCATAAGTACCATTGATCCTCTAATGAATAATATATTTTATGATCCAATCATAAAATTGAGTGCTTTTATTATTCAAGTCCCAAATCAACACTTATGGAAACCGTCCATCTACTTCATTATGAAGGAATGAATTTCATCTTGTAAATTAATATTCCCGGCTATTTATTTTACTATGCTCCCAATATACCAAGACTTTGACACTATTCACATGTGTCATTACTCAATATGTCAAAAAATATAATATCATAAATAGGAGTTTATTAATTACTCATAATTAATATTAATACATATATGACCATCATTGATTAATATTGAATACTCTATTTAATAACAGAATTTATTAGAGATTCATAATTAATCGCGTTCCGGTCCTATGTAATCATATTACATAAAATGCTTTCATTCCAATAATCTCATTATTAACAATCTAGGATAAGATTGTTTCATTCGGAATGTAATGAACCGCATTAGTAATTTTAAATTAAAGATCCAAACTTTAATTTATAATTACGGACAAATTTAAATTATTTTATTTCAAATATTATCCTCCGCATATAACAATTATATATAATATTTAAAGTTACATCAAAAAATAATCTAAAGATTTTAATATTTATAAAACATCACATGTATATAAAATAATATTAAAAAATTTCTCATTTTATTAATAATTAATAAAATATTTATATTTTATTTAATTTATGGGTATATATCTGAACAGATATCTGATGGGACAATGATTATGGGTAGATTAAAGGTATATAGTCTGCTCTGTAAAGATAATAGTAGTAACGTGGAAGATGGTGACTGACCAATAATATTGAATCGGTGCTAATGTGAGGGCAACAAAATTAAAGGTTGATCAAATGGAAAAGGAAAAACCAATCATTAGTTTAAGCGACTTTTGATAAGCCTCTTAATAACCTAGAATTGAGGCGATCATAAATCCTCCTTCCTAGTCATTCTTTTTCTTTTGTTTTGTTTTGTTGCGGAGGAGATTTGTCCAAAAAAGGAACGATCTCGGAAAGATGTTTGATTTAATATGTAAGGGTTTATTTTTTTGAGCGAAAACCTCAAAAAAAAAATTATCAAGTTCATGTTTTTTTAAGTTTAAATTTGAGTTTAAATTCAAGTTTATGACTAAAATTTGAGTTCAAATTTTTCCTTCAACTCGAGTTCAGAAACTCGAACTCAAATTAATGAACAATATTTTTTCTATTCTTAAAAATACTATAACTTTTTCGTTTTAATTCTGATTGAAATGATTTTTTTTCTATGCGTTGACAACGAAAAGACAAAGAAAACCCGATCTATATACCCTATTAAAATTTTTCATCAGCATTACCATCTAAATACAAATTTAAGTTTTGACTCACTCAAATATAAACTCAAAAAGATTCTTATATCAAACCATAACTCAAATGTATACAACTAAACACAACCTCAAGTTACAAGTTCAACTCAAATTATAACTTAAATTCAACTAAAAAATTATACTCAAATTAAACTCTAAAAGAACAAACTCTAAATTTTCTAGTCATTCTTTTTCTTTTGTTTTGTTTTTTTGCGGAGGAGATTTGTCCAAAACAGGAACGATCTCGGAAAGATTTATTGATTTAATATGCACTTACATCGTACAACGAGGAAGTGAAACTTTTCATCACCGAGTTTACAAATCATAAGAACAGAAGAAAAAAGGCATGTACATATATATGGCAGTAACAGTTAACACAAAAGTGAATGAATATAACAAAAATTTTTTTTTTTTTTTAAATAAACGAAATAGTTGCTCCATTTTTAATTGACAGAGTAATTGCATAAATCTCAACTAAAATTTATGATCTTAAAACTAGAGAGTTTAGGATTCGGTTAATTGAGCCGAGTCCAACCAACTTTTTTCTTTACAATTTTCCTCTTTACTCTTTAACGAATGCCTTTTGACTTTGCCCATGATGATGGTAATTGCTAAAAAGGGAATTGATACCTTGTAATTCGAAATATCCAAGCAATTTGGAAATTTTGGATACAGCTTATGTATAACACTACGTATATTTGTTGCATGCAATTTGGTTGATAAATTCACAGGATAACAAGGCTAAAGGAAAACATGATTTATTGTTCAATAATTAAAAACAAAATAAAAAAGAAAGAAAGAAAGATAGAAAAGGAAACAGGCCATGTAGTGTAATTTTTGCAACATGATTTTGACACTTTGAGCTTTCTAGTCCATTCTATTTGTGTTTATAATTGGCGAGAGAATTGGCATATATATATGAATGCATCCAGCTCAAACTGTGATGTTGGAACGAGCTAGGTTGGAAATCTTATCCACATCTAACTACTTTATTCCCATAAATGTGGAACAAATAAAAGTTGTCTAAACAAGAGACTTTTTTTATTTTAGTTTTAAGAGAGAATGCCAACATCATTAAAAATGAGAATAGCGGTTGCGGTTGCATACAACCATAGAAAGATCCCAAGAGATTTCAGAGACGCCAACTAAAGGTTTAAAACTTCACAAGGAGAGATTTCCTTTTGGGTAGCCTTGGGAAATATAATCTATTGTATAGGGATTTTTTACATGCTTGACTGAATTATCAATTGTTCATTTGTGCGTTAACAATTTCATATACGCTCACATACGTAGAAAATAGCATAGAAAGAACCATAATCTTTTCCCAATATTTAAGTACCGACTACCACATACTTTTTGATTTATTGAATATTGCTCATTTCCATGCATCGAAAGGACACAAAATGGTGACTAATATCACTACATTATTATAATTGTTGCCATTGTTTTACTTTCTTTTGGAAGGAAACGACAGAAGCCACGTTGCAAAGTATTTGTTTAGCCTTTTACATGAAAGAATAATTTGTTCAACTCGAATGTCATTAGTTTGAGTTTACGAGATTTTTGTCCATCTTTAACCAAAACAACAACAACAACAACAACAATAACACGAAGGAGGCTCCTAATCTTTTCCAAAACAACCTTTGTATTGCAACAGTATGTCAACATTACAATTCTAACCCAAGCACTAACAAAGAGCTGCTTTTGCCTTTACATCTCTTAATCTGTACACTAAAAAATCATGTACTCAGCACCATGTTCGTCTTAAGTTACTTTCTTGTATTCTTGTACAAGAAAGAATTCCAAAGTCTCAGTAAACAAAAACTGTAACAGACGCAAACTGCTAGCGAATAACTGTACTAACAAAACATTTTAGCCTCGTCCTCATACAAAATGATATGGTGCTGATCACGTTTGGTTCGTTGGTTTATGCTAACAAACGTTAACGTAATTCTCCCTGGCTGATTTCTTTCTTCGCTGGTAACACTTGTTGAAGAAATTAATATTATAATACGGCCTCTTCAAATTGGCATCTCTTGTGGGGTACTCTTGAATGCTTTGAGTTTCAATAATACACGGTCTGCTTTCTTCAAGGCTGTTCTGTGTTTGCTCCACCTACAGACACATCAGCCAAACATTATCGAGAGAGAGAGAGAGAGAGAGAGAGAGAGAATTGGAAAGTACAAAAAGGGGGAAAAAGGGACAAATAATGGAAAGTACCAACACAAGCATACTATCACCATTGTGTACTGCAGAAATCCTGGTGAAAAATCACAACGGTAAGCAACATAACAATCAACAACTAATCCTGATATAAATTCTGAACAGTAAACTGCAGTAGTAGTTCTTTCTTCTAAAGCATGTTTCATTTTTAGCCATAATTTTCTACATTGGCCAGCAGAATGATTTTTCATTTTGTTACATGGCCCTAGTAGCAGACTGCAGAAAGCACTATGTTAGTATGGCAACATTGGTGCTGTTGTGTGTGTGTAGATTCTGGATTTTTTTATTTTTTTTAATGGTTTGGCAATGGACATAGTATTTCAATCACACTTATTCAGAAAAAAAGGAGCAAACTAGGTGAAAAATTGGAAGAGGAACTTCTTCTCACAATCTGTTTCTTGAAAAAAAAAAAAAAAAACCCTTCACTTTTAGGAAACAAATTAGTTTGCCATTTCAATCACACTTGTTCAGACAAAAAAGAGCAAACTAGGTGAAAAATTGGAAGAGGAACTTCTTCTCACAATCTGTCTCTTGAAAAAAAAAAAAAAAAAAAAAACCCTCACTTTTAGGAAACAAATTAGTTTGCCATGTCATACAGCAAACCTCATAGAATTACATAACTAGGCCGTCCCATGTCAAGATGGCAACCAACCGCTGAGATAAGTTTGTTAAGAAATGAGTAACAAAACTGCTAAAAAAAAAAAAAAAAAAAACCCCTTTCAAAAAAAAAAAAAAAAAAAAAAAAAAAAAAAAAAAACACCAAGAACCTTAACTTTAGGAAACAAATGGGTTGCCGGCAATACTATGCCTGAAGGTATATATATTTACCATTTTAACCTGTAGGGATGATACAACACTATTTCCAAAGAAGAAAAAAAATATATAACAAAAGTAGAATAAACTCAATAATATAGCTATTCTTTAATTCAACAGTCTATCTCCCCAAGTGGAAAAATAAAATAACTCTTCAGCTTGAGAAAGAGTTGAAAGACAAATATACATGCAGCTCACCTGATATGTAAACAAGAATAATACAAGACAATCACACTTTGAGGACAATGCTTCACATGATGCAAAACGTTTAAATCAATATAGAGATCGGCAGAGTGGAATATATATATATATATGAACAAATTGCTGTCTTTAAGAAGTTTATACTTTCTCCTTAGAAAGGGATGATATAATACATAAATAAGATTTTTTACAAGGGGCATACCTTACTACGACTAATACGAACTATTTTCCCTTACCAGTACTTTAAGATGACATCCAGTTGCATCTGGTTTTATGCATTTTGGTAGTGATGATTCAACAACTATATGTATTATCTAGGCAGTTAAAGTATAATTGCCTGTATTATACAGCATCAAAATTTTCAAATAATTTACAGCAATCGACCGAGTTAGAAAGTTTTCAGCATCTTCTTCGCCCAGCGAGGGACTAACCTCCGTTTACCAGGTACTGGGTTTAATTATAGTCTCACTTCAGAAAGCATTAGTAACTTTCACATTCTTCTTCTCATTTTTCCATTTTCTAAAAGTACGTAAAAGGTAAGACATACTCCAGTTGTACTTGGTCTGTGACTCGACCATCTTCGATTTGGTCTGCTTGATATACTTCAGAGACGGCACTAGATCTATCAAAATCAGGGCTATCTCCATCTTCACAGACGTCATCATGAAACTTAGGCCCTGCTCCTGCATGGTTGCGTACAAGCATTAAGTAAGCCAGTTTGACAATTAGACGAATTACCATCTTCTTTCTGTGCTCTTTATACAGAAAGTGAAAAGCACTTTTACCTCTAAATGGGCTTATTAACTCAGCTGAAGGGACTTTCAATCGTTTCTGGCACATGATAGTATCCTGGAAATCCAGGAAAGTATAATCCAAAAACTGTAACCTCTCAGAAGCAGTCATTTGTGAAAACCCAAATGAAGTAGTCCATGTGTTTAGCACGCTAGGAATGGCAGGCAAAATCAACCTCTCAACTCCTAATCCCATAAGCGTCTGAAAATGGAAAAAGAACAGAAAAAAAGCAGAAACAGTGACGAGAAAATCGACAGAATAAAAGAATCCATGTTTCCACGTTTAAAACGATAAGACTACTTCACAAAAAGGTTCTTTCCCAAAGAAAATTCATAAAAGTAAAAAATTGAACTTGAAGGGAAAAAGAATGACAAACATCCAAACTTTGTTAGTTATTCAATATCTATGCAAGGGAAATTAGGTGGCCAACAAAGGAAAGGAAAATTATCACAAACATATTATGATAAACATTGTGAAAATGATTGAAGCAAATAGATGGAAATGCTTTTTTGTAGAAGAAACATTTCCAAATTAGGCTCAAGGCATGAAGCACCAGCTTTCAACTTAGTTAACATTGAGAGCTCAGGTAAATATATATTTCTTCTGGTTAATAGACACACTCACGGGTTATGCATTTCTTTCCTGGAAATACACAAGTTCAAGGAAAAGGAAAAGCCCAAAAAGATACCATTCCTTCAGTCATATTGGCAAAAAGTCCTCTCGTCTAACCATGCCCAGTTCAAGGAAAAGAAAAGGCAACTCCCGAACAAATTCATGAAGGCAAAATCATGTTACCTTTTCAAGTTCATTCATCAATATGCGACACATTCCACGTCGACGGTATTGAAGTCGTGTACCAACAAGAGGAACTTCCGCCACCTGTCCATAGACCCTTGGGTAAAAAAAAAAAAAAAAAAAAAAAAAAAAGGAAAAAAAAAAGAAAAAAAAAAAGGGAAAAAAAAGATATTTAGTTTATAATAAAAAGAGGCAAATAAACTAATAGATTTTTAGTTACATGATAGTGATTTCGAATAATTATATCAATAACGCTCTTTCAAGCAGCCACCTGAACGGCTCAACCCCACAGAGAGTGGGGGGAAACTTTAAAAAAAAAGTGAAAGGAAAGGAAAGGAAAAAGGAGAATGAAACTCACCTCACAGTGGCAACAGAAATCAATTCATCATGTCTTGATAAGAGTACTGTATAGAATCCTTGGAAGTCCAGACGTTTAAGATCTGACCTACAATTCCGAATCAAACAGAACAAAACCTCATGTTTGATTTGTACCTTCATATACTTTAACATGATTAGGCATCACAAATAGATAAACTTAAAAGCAATTATCCATAGGAGAATTTGTTTGAATAACGTAGGTTAGGACACTTGATAGATGCAACATTAAAAAATTAGGTAGCTTCTATTATGCTGTTATTTATTTTTAAAAAATGCCGCTATATAAACAAGGTGGGAGATTCAACTAATAAAACGTTTGGAAATTTCCAAAGTTACAATTAATAAGGAAATCAGGCATAAAAACTTCTATCAGGTAGCTATCTCTTCACTACAGTAATTGAACATTTATTAAAAACCCGCAGATTGTGCATCAAAGAGTATGGCTTCCGTAGCGGCGGCCAGTCATCTGATAGGTTTTGAGTTCTGATATTTGTTTTCACTTTTTCTGTAAGAAAGGGTTTGAAGATCAGGAAAAAGGACCTATACAAACTCTACCTTCAGATTAAAGTACAAAAGATAATTGTGGGAAGGGGCTTTATACCAGAATGGACAAAAGCACCCCAAAGCAAGTATCAAGCTAAAGACCAAGCCAGTATCAGCGTAAAAAGTTTGAATATAAGTTTTTGTCACCTTCTATTGAATAAAATATCTTCCATGAGATCTCGGTTTGTACGAGACTCCTTAACCGGCTCAAAACACTCGTGCATCACACCAAGAGCAACATTTAGCTCGCTCAATTTCATCCACGCATCAATATCATTAGAGTTAGCACAGCTACTATCAGCCTTCGGGGACTTCAGTAACGACCAAGTTAGCTTTTCCCCAAACTCCTCACCGACGTTGATCGATTTTCCAAGAAGCTCTTGAAGGTTGAAAAAAATCTGGAAAATGGAAAAAATCACGCAGACGATTTCAGGGCAAAAAAAAAACAGGTGATCATAAAGGAACAAAAATTCATCAAGTGCACAATTGGACTTCGATATTTCATGCACCAAGCAGTGGTTTGAAATAATAATAATGCTTATGACGAAAACGAAAAGAAAAGAAAAACCTGATATTTTCAAGTAACTTTCCAAAAAAAAAAAGAAAACAGCCATACTTGAAAAACTAAAGTAATACTACACCCTGAAAAACTTACAAAAGCTTAAAAGTTAATAAGTACCTTTTCACACATTTCAGTGCAAAACCATTTTTTCATGGGATGACTTTCCAGTTGAGATGGCAGTCTATTCCTCAAGCACCCGACATGATCTATTAAATTGACAAACAACGTTGGGAACATTCCAAAGAATTTCAACATGAGCATATGGTTTATAGTTTGATAAAGATAACCTACAATTACGCTCGCATTGACTGCAGGTGAGAACACTTCCCTCCTTAGTTTGCTCCTTCTCCTCCTGAAATTTGTTCTCACCACAAATCCCACAGCAGCAACAAGGGCAGAACCAGTCTCCATCTGGAATATCCTATTAGAAGCAAAACAATCTTAATTTCATTCTTATTAAATAGCCCAAAAACATGAGGCTGGAAAATTTTCAAAATAAAAGACGAGAATGAGATTACAAGGTTATACCTCTAGACCGAGACAACTCTTGTGAAATGATGATGGACATTGATCGCATAGCAGCAATTCGCCGCCATAGTGGCACACAGAACAAATGTAGTCGTTCTCACCTCGGCACCAATTGCTCTTCACTGCCTCACATGATTCTATTGTCAAGCTTTGCATCTTACTTTCGCATATAATTTCCCTCTGGCATGCTAAGAGAGACTTTGGAACGTCACCTTCCAAAACTATATTAGCAGAAGGTGTACGGCAGCTGCTACCGGCATGAACTTCAAAGCTACTAAGACCAAACCCCTTCCGACAGCAGCCGCACTTGATCCCATAACGAGTTATTCTCCCTTCTTTAGAAGGTGGGTCCGTTCCAATACGATAATGTACTTTCGCTCTTGGTAACACTTTGTTGTTGTCTATCAACCAAGAAAGTATACTCCGCGGATTGTGGTGAGACGAATCCGGAATAACCACTTCTTGCACAAGTTTGCTTGACCTTAATACACGCTTTGGACGAGTATGATCCTTACCATATCTTGAGCTGATGAATGCCTGTGACTTCTTCCTTTTCTTTACCTTCAGGAGAGAGGAATTTTGATTCTTTGGGTGACTTGGTTTTCCATCTTTCTTTGAATCATTTCTCAACCTATGTCTTCTTTCATGTAAGTTGATCTGTGTTTGAAATACACGATCTGCATCATTTAGTAAATTACCATTTCTCTTTTTTCGTTTTCTTCTGACCCCTTGGACCTTTACTTTTTCAAGCTCAGTAAATTTACTCGACTTTGCAACACTAGAAGACTCTCTGGATAACTTTATGGACAGAGTGTCTGGTTGAACCATATCTTCCTGAAAGTGCAAGCCATTTCCCGTGAATGATAACATATTGCTAGTAGAAAAGACCTCAGTTTCTCCACCAAAATTAATGCATTTGGCACGTCCATATGAAGAAACAGGACTCTTGTACCTTTCATCTTTCAAATAACCTTTGCAAGCAGCCATAATGGACCCATAGGTCTTTCCTGTTGGTGACTTATACTGCACCATCTTTCGTCCACGTCTCGGGTAATGTTTCACTCTGATTTCCCATCCCGCAGCACAGAGTTGCTTTTTTGCTTCTGATCTCATGTCTGCTAATTTTTTGCAACCTTTTTCACGTCCATGCCACAAATAAACCATAACTGGGTGAGAGAAATGGTCAGGATTGGCGTCTTCAGTCAAAGAAGGGAACACCGCAGTCTGAGGACAACAATCAGGATTTTGACTCTGTTGTGGTTGTTCAAGAGGTAGAGACATGGTAGACAACGCATTCAATCTTTTCGGATCATCTTCAGACCCTGAAGAAAGCATATCTCCGGCAGATTCCTTTAAGTGCCTGTAGACTTGAGGCAGAGAATAGAAACATTTTCTATCTGGTGATGTATAACGTTTTCTAAGTATTCCATTTTCACATGAGTGGTCAATTTTCCAACCCAGATCTAAAAGATGCTTCCAAAAATCTGTCCTCATAGAACTACAAGACTTCCTACGTTTCCCACTACTAGGATTGGCACAATATTCATCAACAGCATTGGGGAAAAACTCTGCTCCAAGAAGCAAGCTAAAAGGCCGCCACTTTTCTTTATTCTCACAAACTGGACGTTTAGACTCCTTATTGTTCTCAACAGAACTATTGCTTAAAATGTCCTTCCCACCACGGTTAACTGAGCTGGCTCCAGAACTCCCATCATGGTTAGATGGCAACATTGGCAAAACCTGAGGGTGCACACATAATGCTTCTTTGTGGTGAGATACGGTTGAGTCGGACAACAGATTCTCAGTTGATGCATCGCAGTTCACTACAGAAGCTAATTGATCCATACCAGGTTCCAGAAAAGCATCACTTTGACTGATGCCAAGTGATTCATCAGTAATTCCACCACTAAATTCGCCTACATTCTTCGCAATCACTCCATTATGACTCACTCTTCCACTTCCCATCTCATTGTCAAAGAGTACAACAGCTTTAGAATTGATCATTTCTGCTTCACAATCAATATGAACGTCCAAACTGGGCCGAGCTGATTCCAAAGCATCTTTCTTAATAGTCCCATGATCAATCACCATATCCCTATTCCATGTTTCATCAACAAGTACAAAATCATCAGAATCAATCAATTCTTCCTGGATTTCTGCTAATCTCCGAGACAGTTCTTTCGCTGAAAATCTCAAGTACTCATCAACAACCTCTAAAACCATCCTCTCCCACAAATGATTTTCCTTACAAGTCCAGTCCTTCACCTTCTTAAAACTCTTCTTTTCCCTCATATCATACCACAGTTGCTTAACAGAGACAGGAAGGAGACAATTTTTCTCGAATTCCTCAATGGACTCAAGCAACACCCACTTCCCACGCCGAGTCCAATTCTCAGTCAGCTCATCCCAATCCTGAGTGATCCTCAAATTATCAATTCCCAACCTCATCTCATCGCCCAAAGCCGGGAAGAAAATCATCCTCTCCGGCGACCCGTCGTCGTGATCGAAGATCACGCCCTCCCACCACGCGTCCTTGTACAACGCATCCACGCACATACCGTAGGAAAGCCCCCAATTCTGCAACCGAATCGCCGGCGGCGGTGACGGCCTTATGTTTCCGCGGTGGCCGTACGAGGAGTAGCTCCGATTGCCGGAAACGATGCCGTCGAGAGTCGCCGACACTCTAACGACGTCGACTAGGTTTCCGGACCCGCCCTCGGCGAGAAGGTGATCGTATTGGACGTGACGGTGCCCTTTCTCGTGGCATGCAATGACAATGCCGGAGTGCCACGACCCATCAAACCCTTCTTCCTCGCTTCTCACCTGAAAATTTCTCGGTTTTTCGATCATTCGCCTAATATAAAAAGAAGAAATACCAAAATGTAGCCAAACAGCAAAGCAACTTTCCGGCTTCAACCCGAGATTTAGCAGACCAGAGCGGTCGCCATCTCCGGCGCCGGCGAGTCTCGAAAACAGAGACGAAAATGCACAAAAAGCATGAAAGCAAAACGACAACCAAACGAAAGAACAAAGCAAGAAAGGAACTTTCTCGAAGATAAACAACGAGAAAAGGGAATTTCGGATTTCGAAAAGCAGCATTGTTATTTATATATACCTCAACTCTTTCGTTGTCAATGAGCTTTATTCTGGAGCGTTTTCTTTTGCCGGTTCTCTTCTCCATTGAAGTGTCTGGTTCTTCAGAGTCCGCCACAGAAGAAGAGCATAGAAGAGTGTGTGATTACCAGAGCGATTTTTTCTTTTTTCTTTTTTTTTTTTTTTTTGGAATGCTGTTAATGAGGGGAAAAAAAATAGAAAAAGGAAACAGAATAGAAAAGGTGAGAGAGAGAGAGAATCGGAGCGAAAAGAGCCTTTTAAAAACCAAGTCTACTCTTTGACTTCGGCCTTCAAACTTTCTCACCAAGCAAAACGGGTTATGCTTCCCTGCTGCTATGGTGTATCCCAGAAACAAACGCCGCCTCAGTTTTTTTTTTTTGAGTATCGCCTCAGGTTCTTTTCTTTTTTTTTTTTTTTTTTTTTTTTTTTTTTTTCTTTTTACTTATTTCGTGATATCATTTGTATAAATTATTATGGTCAATTCTTTTTAGAGAACAATAAACAATAAAAAATAGTTTGTGCTCGTGAGGATATCAAATTTGTGTGTTACAATAATGGTCAAGACCGAAGAACACTTCTCATCATACCTCGAAGGATTTATTTATTTATTTATTTTTTGTTATTGAAATAAACACAGTAAACTATTAATATGCTTGTTTTAAACTAGTAAGATGTATGGATTTTTTTTTTTTTTTTGGAGCTGTTGCAATGTGTGTTATATGTCTGTCTTTATATGTACATATTTTTGTATTATTTTTAAAAATTTACGTCGCATGAAAAGTTTGTCGCGACATACCACAATTTTCGTCGTATTTACAACATCACGGTAAGGCCTCCAATCATCAGAGTGAACGGTTGGATTGCCATTGGTAACCAACAACCTACTACATATGTAGGATCATTGGAATAACCTCTAATCTATTGACACATGTAGTTGCAACTTGCAATCGCCTAAACCGTGGTTTGATCATTGATAACATAGAATGAAGGTGAGATAATAATTAAGAATCGCGATTAATTGGTTTTGATCGGGCCAATTTATTTTCGTAACATTATGTGTATTTCGTAAACGTTGCTAAATAAAAAATTCTCACTCCTTTAATTTACCAATTTAAGAATTTAATAAGAAATTGTATAAATAACAAAGAAAAAATGCAACAGCTAGTGTATTATATGGAAACAATTGTAAAACGTAATTTTTTACTTTGACATGGTAATTTATTGATTTTGTTTTTCCTTCAATTTTTGTTGCATTGCAAGGAATGTGTGAAGGGCTTTAGAGGACAGAATCTCTGCCACGCATGGATTTTGTGTGTCCCCAAGCCTCAATTTTTCATTTGTTTTAGAAGTTATTATTCCCACTTATTAATTCCACTTTTGCTTTTATATCATATTTACTTTATTTTTCTGTTGTAGTTTTTTCTCCCCTTTTCTCCTTGATTACTTTGTTAAACCCCGTTCATTTCGCTGATTTGAGTTTTTAATTCGAGTTGAGATGTGATTTTATGTGAGAACTTTTTACGGTAGCAAAAAAGTTAGATGTGATTGTTTATGAGAGCTTTTTACTGTAGCAAAACTCGAATTCTAAACTCGAATAAGTGAAATGAACGAAACCACTACAAATAATTAAATAGACAAACAAAATATAATTTAATCCATCATACATATAATCTTGTATCAAAACTTAGGAGACATTTGGTAAGGAAATTCATACCATGATTTGAATCATGGTTCATAATTCACTACAGTATTTTTTCTCACAAAAAATACACGTAAATCTTATTATTCTAATCCATAAACCAAACGTCTCATAATCTAAATATTTCGAAAGCGCACCTTACAAGATCTAGATTTTTCATTCATTATAAATTATATGTATAATCTTACATAAAAAGGAAAAAATATTGTACACTGAGCCCGTTTAGTTGGAGGATTCATTCTCTGATTCGAATCATGGTTCATAATTCGCTACAGTATTTTCTCTCATAAAAAATACACGTAAATCGAAAATGATTCTAATCTCATGGTTTTAATCCATGAACCAAACGGGCTCTTAGATAAAGATTCGGTCCTTGAATATCTTTGTGTTCATTCCAACCAAATCTCAAGTTTACCCTTTTATTATTATAAATAAAAAGTAAAATACAACTTATTTTGTTAACCATACCGATTAAAATTTTCAAAATACAGAGACTAACATATTAATATATGTATTAAGTATTATTTTAAACGATCAGTAAAAAAAGTTATTATTTTAAACATTAGTTTATTAAAAAAATCAAAGAAAAGAGACCCCAACTTCATTAATCTCATATTTTCCTTCCTTCTCACCCCTAATCAAAGCCTTGCAATTATAAGCAAATAAATATGGGAAATGAAATAAATAAAAGAAGAAAAAGTTATCAAATATAAGAAACAAGTACCTTTTATTGAATGAAACATATATTGCAAAGCAGGAAAAGGTAATATAAACACGATTTCATGCACATAGCTCCTGTTAAAAAATAAATAAATGAAAAGACACTAATAGACCTTGGTTTTATTAGGTAGTTTTTGTTTAAATGTAATTTTCCTTTAAAAATGATTTTTTTAAATAATAATGTATATCAAACTCCACAACGTAACAATTCATTTCAACATCAGTACTATGCTTTGCTACCTCGAAAGATTGGTTGGCTCACTTTATCTGAAAAGTATTTTTTTTTTCTTTTTTTTTAAAAAAAAAATCTTGTGTTTAGTTTGTTTATATTGCCGAATTATAATTGGTGTGGGATTGACAATCCAAAGATGGATAAATTTTGTTTTTGCCCCCGAGGAAGTGAAGATGAAGTCGGGGGTTTTTGCTTCTTTTTTTTTTTTTTGGAGAAATTTTTAGTTTTGAATTTATTTTATTTATTATTTTTTTAATCGATGTTTAAAATAATATTTAATGCATATTAATGAGGGTATAATTTTTTTATGTTAAAAAATTGACCAATCAAATCAAGAGGTTATTTTTGTATTATTTTCAAAAACACTAGGGATGACTTACGTTTGGTTGGAGGATTCAAACCATATGATTTAAATAATTTTCGATTTACGTGAATTTTTTGTAAGAGAAAATACTGTAGCGAACCATGAATCATGATTCGAATCAGGGAACGAATCCCTCTACCAAACATCCTCTTAATTTTTTTTTTTAAAGGCAATAGTATAACTTCATTAAAAAGCCACTAAAGGGTCAAGATACAAAACAAAATCAGGGTCAAGAAATGAATACAAACGTATCTCTTACTCAATAACGGAAAAAAACTCATACAACTAGTGGCACTATATAGGGTTCGGCTACTTCGAAATAACTCTAGATGAACCACATTTCAGTCCCAAAATGGACTACATAACTCAGATTTAGAGCGGTGGGAAGAAGACCACCCTCTAACCAAGACCTAACGTCAGTAGATGGAGATACTATCACCGTTATTACAACACAAATAAAAACATAAAACATAGAAACAGAAAAAACTCTACAAAGATCCCAAGAAATAAAAGCAGAAAAATCGAGCCTCTTAACGCCGGAGGTGTGTGAAACACGGTAGAAGTGGCGTAGAGAAAAGCTCTTAAAATGGCAACAAAGTACCAGAGACACGGTGACACATCGGCGCATGGGACCCACGCACTACCGCCAACGAGCAGCGACTGCCACACGCTCTAGACAACCTTCCTCGTCTCCCTTCCATGATCTAGATCTCAGAGTTTCAACAGAATCCCGCGGCGAACACGTCATAGATCTAAGGTAGAAGACCAAAAAGTGCTTCCCCTTAAATAACTCCATTTCGGTGACTATCCACACTTCCATCTGCACGAACCCAACGTCGGTGACCTCTACGATCTGTTCGACAAACTTTGGAGGCTGACAGCCCGACGAATAGCCGGAACACCGACCCCAGAGAACTCCTCCTTTAAGCTTGATACATAGCACTTCTCTCTAACTTTCTCTCTCTAGAACTCTGACCTCCCCCATACACTCACTTTAATATCTATATAGTGATGTGATTTCTTTTTTTGTTTTTTTTGATAAAAGGAAAATTACATTTAAACAAAACTTGATAAACAATCATCTCAGTACAATGCTAATGACTCATCAGAAAGACAAATGCATGCTTGAGGCCTGAAAACAGGAGACCTCGGCACACTAACAACGAGCACACTTAAGGCTCGAATTGAAAAAATCCTCCTATCGACATTGGCTTTCAAGCGCTGGAGGATAGATTGCTAAACCCACACAGAGGGGACATCTACACGGCCTAAAAAAAATTTAGCAGAACCAAGATCACCCTATTAGGAGACATATAGTAGGCTTTAAGCCGATTACTAAAATCTAACAACAAACTAAACGAGGATCGGATGGAGACACAAAAGTTGTAACAAAAAAAGCTCTGGCCACCGCCATTAGAAACCTCTGGTGAAGGGCAACCGGCCAAAGGACCATCGAGGAAGATAGCTGCTCAAGAGATTTTAGATATCAAACGACAGAGTTGTATGAAAATAATGCCCATTTGTTCCGTTTCTAAGTTGCAAACTGTTTAGATCCGCCCAAACAAAGACACCACATCGTACACCACCATCACTAATGATAAGCCCATGATGAGACGAATCGGAGGACCATGTTTCTGTTGGTTCCCGAATCGAATTCGGGTACGGAAGCGTGGGGAGAAGCGGATCGTGTATAACAAAAATTTTCATAAAACTTTTGAGATACTCTATAGATTATATTAATTTATGCACGAATAAATTAATCGCATTAATTTACATCAAGAACTCAATCCGGAAAAATACCCGGAAGCCGACTCGGATGATAACTTGAGTTCTTCGATGACGAACAGTCCTTGCTCCAAGTTTGTGTTTAGAATACCAAAGTCTTCCACGTCAATTCCTTGATTCCACGTAGACGTGTGTGTGGGCACACGTGAGACAAAACAAGTTTCTTAAAACACTTGAATTTCTACAAACACCAACGCATGCAC